AAGGAAAATATCTCATCTCTCACTAATAAAAATGAAGTTATTCACAGGTCTTTCTGGATGCTCTTTGTCAAGCTGAAGAAGTTTTCCCTATTTCTAGTTTTGCAAGAGTTTTTTTTTAATTTTACTTATTTATTTATTTGCGTGTGTGTGTGTGTGTGTGTGTGTGTGGCCAGCTCAGCCCACCAGGGGGCGGGGCTGGCTGGCATGTGGTGGTGGGGGATTGAACCCGCAGTCCCTGTGCTTTGCTAAGCTTTTTCCAAGTAGGTGCTTTAGACCACTGAGCCATCTCACCAGCCCAAGTTTTTTAAAATTATCATGACCACATAGTGGATTTTGTCACATGTTATTCTGGCATCAATTCACATTATCATATGACTTTCTCCTTCATTTATAGATGTAGTTCATTCACTTGGTCTTTATATTTAAATCTTTAACATCTTGTATACCTAGAAAAAAATTCTAACATTTTTAATTCTTTTTAAAATGTTAATTAAAATTAACATTTTTAATTCTTTTTATTTATTATTGTTTGATTTGGTAGTATTATCTTGAGGATTCTTTCTCATTTTTTAAATCTGATTTTAGTATTAAACTTTTTCTGATTTCACAGAAGGAGTTAAGAAGAGTTCTTTTTGCTTATCTTTTCTGGAAAGATTGTGAAGAATCACTATTAAGTTTTCCATAAATGTTTTATAGACTTATCAGTGCAAATAATTTGGCTTTGTTCTGTTTTTTTGGAAGGTTATCAATTATTGATTTAACTTCATTAATAAATACAGCACATGGCTATTCAGGTTGTCCATCTCTGCCTGTGTTAGTTTTGCTAACTTGTTCTTCAATGAACTGATTGATTTCACTGTAGTTACCAGATTCGGTGACATAGAGCAATCCATAGCGTCCATTGTTATCTTTCAATGTTCATGGATCAATTATGATGATTCTTCTTTGATTTCTCATATTGATAGTTTTTGTCCTTTGTCTAGTCTTAGTTAGCCCAGAGGTGTATCATTTTTTTTTTTTATCTTTATAGAGAACAAGCTTTTGGTTTCACGGATCTTTTGTATTATTTCATTTTCAATGTCAATTTATAGTGTAAATTACATTTTTATTGTGTTTGCTGTAGGTTTAATATAGACCTTTCTCACTCTTCTTTGCATAGGTGAAACTTGGACTATTGTGGTGTTTTTTTTTTTTTTTGCAGTACCAGAGATTGAACTCGGGACGTTGTGCTTTCCAGGCAGGTGCTTTCTGCCCTATGAGCCAGCGGTTCCTTTGTGCGCTGGGAAGCAGAATACCTGTTACAAACGAAGGTGACCCTGGAAATAGGACAACAACACATCTTAGAGACTATTTGCTGTGGATAAAGTGTGTTCCTGTGCATTTCACCCCTTGTCTTTATTTTCAAAGCTTTCATTCTATGATTTTTAATGCTAACACAAGACAAAAACACCATTTGTAGTTGTTTGGATCAATAAGCTTCTTGGAAAAAGAACAGTTGCTGAACGACAAAGGGAAAAGGTTATTTTGTTTTACTGCCTAGCTCCAGAGCTGCTCTTTCACAAGTATTGATGTGTAAGTGGGCTCTAAATGGGAAAAGAGCCATAGCAGGGAGCCATCCACATGTCAATTGAAAACTTCAAATTATGTGTCTATCATTGTTCTGGCTTAAAGAAATATCAGATTTTGATCGATGTTTCTAGCTTCTCCTATGGCTAAAATATATTTCATTTGACCCAATTTTTATTTTGCTAACAGGAAATATATGCATACAAACATTCTTATTTATATAATTCTTTTTGCTCCCTTGTTTTCAAGGAGGACAATATGTTACAAAAAGCAGAGTCCAAGGAATCAAATTTCGCATGAGTTGGTTTTTACGAATCAATCTGCCATTAAGCAGAAAGAAAAGCTTGCTAGCCAAGCACTCAAACTCTAAAACCAAAGACTCATTCCTTGAGAGGAATGTGATACACCCACCTTTCCCCATTTAGGTGGTTGACGGTGTCACATAATCTGTTACCAATCCCAGAACAGCAGTGTGTAGGTGCGTGGAGAAAGGCCAAATTAATAGCCTTGAGCTTTCAAGCTTAAGGTAGAACTAATGCACAACAGATCACATTTAAATATCATCTCCTGTGGTGAGAGCAGAGAAAACCATTCGTTATGTATGCTGTAAGCAGGACACTGCCTCATTCAGGGAATGCAAATCTGTTGGCTTTCTGATGCATCTCAAGATTCTGCTTATTATACATGGAAAACAGTCTGTCATGCTTTGGCATCTGCATTGATACGCATAATACCAGAGCATACTTGGAGGAGATATTTTATTTTGTTTCCTCTAACTTCATGGCTACATTTGAAGTCCTGTATATGTGAGTGGAATGTCAAAAACTCCCAATGGAGGGCCTGTGAGATAGCTCAGCAGACTAAGCACCTGCTTAGGCAAGCACAGGAACTGGGGTTTGATCCCCAACAACACATGGTGTGCCGGCCCCACCCCAGCCACTGGGTCTAGGTGTGGTAGCACATGCTTGTAATCCCTGAGCGAGGAAGGCTGAAAACGAGGATCACTGTAAGTCTGTGCTGTGTAGAGACTCTGTACCAAATACATTAGTAAGAAAAGCTTCATATGGTAAATTTTAGCAAAGAATTTTCATAAAGAAAGACAAACAAAGCAAGACAAGATACAACATTCTTTCCTTCTTTCATTTGGAATTCAAATACTCTGAAGTCTTAGATTTTGTTTTTTTAATATTTATAATCATGTATGAAGTACTGCTTTCAAGTAAGATCTGCTCAGATAATAGATTCCCCAGCTACAATTAAATATTGATAATTTATGTAGTGCTCTAATGAATCTGTCTTTGGCTTCTTGGGTCTAGTTCTTGATGCAGGTGAACGCACGTTCCCACTTATATCCGGCACGAGTGACACCCCAGCACACCTGCTTTAAAATGCCGCACCCATGATCCTGGGTTTTTCTTCTTTCCTCCCTCTCAGCTTGACTGAAGGAGCTAGGATCTATTTCTAAGTTTAAATCTTTCAATCAGGGTCTATCCTAAAGTGACCAGAGGTTCTCATGTATGTTTTATAAGTTAAGTGGGAGTATCTCATGCATATGCTTGACTAGATCCTGCTTCTGACAGACCCATATCCATAAGAAGAAAATATAGTTTTTGTCTTTTTACATCCTCTCCAATTGTTCTACAGAGAGATTTTTTTAAAAACATACATACAAAAGCTAAGTTTGGTTTTCTTTACCTCTGACAACAATTCAACTCAAAATATATTTATTGAGTGTGAGCATGTCTTAGGTCCTGGGAATATAATGTACAGGGCTGTCATGGATCCTGCTGATGAAGATTGCAGAGGTGAGAAAGAGAGACAGATGCTCAGGCCCACAATCCTAGTGCTGTGTGTGGAGGGCGTGGGATGGTGTGGGTACTGCCAGTGCACACAGAGGTCACATCTTCACCAGCCCGGGAGGGCCAGCTGGATTGCTGGTGCCTTGTCCTCCTAACCAGACGATAAGCAAGAGTGGAATCACAGCAAGACAGAGTAGAATACAAGCGAGAAATTTTAAAAGAAAGGGACGGAGAGAAGAAAAGCAAAATGGCTTAAACACATAGAGTTAGATGTCTTAATAAAGATGAGGCTGAGCGTGAGCAACCTAACGAGACTCTTCAAAAAAAAAAGGTTTTTTTTTTTTTTTTTGTTTTTTTTTTAAGAAAATGCTGGAGATGTAGTTCAGTGATAGGGTTACTCCCTAATTATTCCCTTCCTGCCCCAGGCTCTGGGTTTAGACTCCTGCATTACAAGGGGAAAAAAAGAAAAAGAAAAAAGGAATCCTAGAAACAGGCAAATCATATTTAAGCTTTTAAAATTAAAATGTAATCAGAATAATAATTTTGTAGCTTGCTCTTCATAGAAGAAAAGACACCATAATAGCTCAGAAGAATTAGTGAATAGATAACATTTGAAGTAAATCTTAAATATTAGCATAGGACTCTCCTCCCCGTATTTGAGCTCAATTTAAACATGCATACTTCCTCAGATACATATTTTATGTGTTATATGTGGTCATACATTTAGGATGGATGTATATCTTACCCTGTTCCCCAAAGGATTAGCACTGACTGGAGTACAACAGGTAACGCAAACCAGTGATTCCTGTGCCTTAAAAATCCCCAAATTCGGTTGGGGAGATAGCTGAGTGGCATAACTGCCTGCTTGGCAAGTGCAAGGTCCCTCGTTTGATCCCTTGTACCACTGCAAACAAAACAAATAAAACAAAACACCTGATAGTTCCAGGTATTTGGGCCGGCCAAATAGCTCAGCGGATTAAAGCACCTGCAAGCAGGCGCAGGGGCCAGGGGTTCAATCCCTGGGCCTGCCATGCCAGCCCTGCCCCCCAGGGCATGCTGAGATGGCAATTGAGACTGGGCGTGGTGGAGCATTCCTGTAATCCCAGCTCTTCGGAGGCTGCAAACAGGCAGATCACTACGAGTCCGATCTAGTAGTGAGACCATGAACACCCTGTAGACCCTTCCCTAAAATACAAAAAATTAAAAAAATCTTCAAACTCAAAGTCGACCATGTGATAAAAGTAAAAAGATCTCACCAGATGAGTAAGAGATTGAAAGTGTGAAGAGAGAGAATTGGTAACCTTGGTTTCTTCCCTCCTTTGGATGAGAATACATTTTACCCATTAGCTTCCACATGGGTAATAATAGATAAAATATGCAAACACTTGACTTTTTTTTTTTTTTTTTTTTTGTGGTACCAGGGATAGAATTCAAGACTTTGCACTTGCCAGGCAGGCACTTATGCCACTGAGCTATCTCCCCAGCTCCAAATGCTTGAAATTGGATAAAAATGATCAGAGGGTTAAAAGACCATCACTTCTCCAGCATGTTGTCAATATAAGAGTTTAATAGGTTTTTGACAAAATTTAGAAGAAAATTAAGAGTTTTAATTTTCTAGATAAATTGCATATGCAGTACAAGAGAGAAAACGCCAAATTTTTACTTGACTAGACATTCGTATTTTCAGATAACATTCAGTAACTTTTTAATATTAACTTGAATACATTACATTTAAATATTATGGTTATTTGTAGACAATCTGCTAGCAACATAATTAATTCCCTTCATCGAAAACCTATGATAAATTATTCTTTCAATGAAAGATTTTGCCCTATCATGACAGGTTATGTTAAAATATTAAAAAACAAACACTTGTCTTATTTAAAAAAAATTGAAAAGATGATCTTTTCTGAATAATTAATTTCAAAAAGAATAGGTCATTTTTCAGTGGTACAATGATAATTTTAAAAAGGCCAGAATTCATCTTCTGCTGTCTTATTACTTATTTTTCTCCAGAAACTTCTAAATGTATCCTCCTGAGTTTAATTTCAAGTCTTTGAAAAGGATGTAGTTGTAAGGAATTAGAAAGGAATTTATCTCCAATTCATGAGCTCATTTCCCCCCTGGGAAGTTGGAAATTATGCCTTAAGAATACTCTTTTCATTTAATATTGTAATGCAACAGCAGAAAGAGAAAGCATGGGTAGCAGGCCAGTGTGATGACAAAGAGCCCTGTTACTCTTAACCTTTATAAAATGTTTTCCATTTCCTAGATCGTTTATAAGACATGAAATGAAAAATTTTAATTCCCCAAGAGGTAGACGATGAACCCATTCCCCAGATGGGAAACCAAGGCGGTGAGACGCCTTGCCACATTCTATGAAAGTGTTCAGCAGCATAACCAAGACGAGAGACAGGAGGATCTGGTTATAGTTGTATACATGGACACACAAAACACATCAGCGGAATGACAGGTGTAATGTTGGTCCATTCCTGCAACCCCTATTCCATTTTTCTCTATAAAGTGTGGATCTGATGGAAAATTGAGACTTCACTTACAACTGATGGCAGATCTATGTACAGGGTCAAATTTATGAAATCAACAAGAGGAATGACTATGTACAATGACATTGTCAGGCTTAGGAATAGAGTCTGTGTTGAAATGAAATGACATAGATTGCATTTCAGTAAATGAGATCAAGGCATGAAAAATTAAAAAATAAAATTAAAAGACAGCTAATGCAATGTTGAAAATCACAACTTCAGCTCCACATCTCCACTGTTATGCACTGAAAAGAAGATGTTTATGAGTACAACTAAAAATAAATTATCAAACAGTTGGATATGAGTATCAGCTCACATATCTATCCTGACATCAGCACTCATCTGCCTGTCCTTAGGAGGGTACCAGCATATCATAATTTTGCTTCATATTACAGTGAATACACCTCTTTCCAGAGTACAAAAATATATCCTTATCCACAGTACATAATTTACCAGCTTCCTCAAATACAGCAAGTTCCTCAATGAAACAAGTCAATAAACCTGTGACATTTTTTTCATTTTGTAGTGGCGTTAGGCAAGACGTGAGATGGCCAGAGTGGAGGTACATTTGTGAGGACTGCTCTGTTGGAGGTGTCAAAAAATAAACAACTGTATTGTCCCCAAGGCCCAAAAGAATGATGTCCCTTGATGGCCATAGCAGTTACTGTGTGAGTAGCCAGTACATTAGGGACACACTAACATAGATGACACACAGCATTGTCCAGTTTATTCTTGTGATGGGGGGCCTGAGGTTACCTGTCACGTGGAGGACGACACTGGAAGAGAGCGTGCCGCTAGAATTTTGGGCCCGCGCCACATAGAGGCCCGCGTCCGCCTCACGTACCTTCGGAATGAACACTGAATGTTTTGTCTCCTTGTGCAAAACCTGTAAGTGCCCATCTGCAGATACTTGCTGGCCCTTCTTGTACCTAAAGCAGAAAGTGAGTTTGGAAAGTCAGGGTCACACTTTTTCCACATCACCTCCAAGTTCTAACACTCACTTGGCGGTAGGCCCAGGACCACGACAGTCTTCTCCAGCCTTAGCAAGAACGTCCTGGCTACCGCAGAGCACCGAGAGTCTGTTTATTTCTCAAGAAGAGATTGGCAACGAACTGGTAGCCAGAGACGTTCTTTCTTTGGCTTGGATTATCTTTTTGGAAAATTAAATTTTTGACAATATTTGAAATTTGGAGTGTTATTTATAAAAATTCAGATATTCAGCTCCTCTTAAAAAACTTGGCCAATCTGGTCCTACTGCTGCGTGGTTTGCTGTGGCAATGGTTCTCTAGAGCATGAGCTGGCACCTCACACTCAGTCTGCCTTGTCCTTTCTGCTGCAAGGCACAGCAACTGTGATGCCGTCTTAGAATCTATGTTGGCATGAGACGCCTCTGCCCCAGATCCACACAGCACAGAAGCACCATGTCGGAGGAAGGTATTTACGTATAGCATCCTGGTAAAATGAATTTATTTTATTTTTGTGAATTAATTTCACGAGATGACTTCTCACTGCGAAAGTCATTCATACAACTGGACTTTGACTGATCAATAACTTATTTGCAAAAGTTTCCTACAAATATGAACTTATCTAGATCTTTATACAAAACAAATAATTCATTCCACATATTCTAGGCTGCCATGTGTTTATTTATTTAGGTCATCTTTCTCTCATACAAAGACTGATCATAAGCCTGAATATTTTTTTGTTTTTAGGGCTTAAGTGATAAATTTGCATTTCTCTGAATGCCTTAAGATGATATGGCTTTCCAATTGCTAGTCAGTCGTTCACTGAGCAACACTGTTATAAACGTGATGATAATACATTCTTGCTCATTTGCAATAGTTGCTCAATAATAATATGTACTATAATAGTTCTTTACTTATATACTCATGAATTCATTTGTGTGCACACAACAAGAAACACTTCAGACAACATTTTTAAGAGGAACTAATATTTAATAATGAATTAAATACCTTTTAAATGTATAAATACAAAATTCTTGAGTTATAAAAAACATGCAATTGTAAAAAATAACAAAACAAAAATGAATAAATATTGCACTGTAGAGAAGCACTATTTCTCCTACTAATTTGAAAAGCCAAAGATTTCTAGCAATTTTTTTTTTTTTTTTTTTTTTGTGGAACTGGGGAATTGAACTCAGACCCTTGCACTTGCCAGGGAAGCACTTATTCTACTGAGCCATTTTCCCAGCCCCTCTAGCAAATTCTTTGGGCAACTGGTTTCACACTTCAAGTACCACTCAGGTGCACACACAATAGAGCTCATTTATTATCTACTAAAATATCCTAATAAAAGCTAGTTTCCTTATCTCAGTTTATAGTATAAATTTGCTGTCACATATTTTTTATTTTGTCCTTAAATCTCTTTAAGGACAAAAATTTTGAAATGTTCAAAAGCAATTCTCATATTGAGAAATATAGAGCTAATTTTGCTGTTAACAGTCACAGGTGATGTAAAACCTGTAATCTGCAGTTCATTTTCATTAAAACAAATAGGCTAAAAAGTGGTATCTTCAGAGTAAAATCATGTGGTTCGTAGCTCACTTATTGTACCGCCTTTCAAAAATGAGTTTATTATCTGTCATCTGGAGCAACTGTGAAATAATATTTTATTTCACCTCTCCTATTAAAGGAATTTATAAAAGGAAGTCTTAGTAAAACACAGAAATACTACAATGGCGACATGTGCGTCTATGTTGGAAAGAAAGAAGAGATGGAACAGGGACACAAAATGAAAGGGCAAATGCCAGATATTCTGAAATTGCATAAAGGGTGTTAAAACAAGAGCATTTTATGCTGATGGAGAAAGAGACAACAGGGAAGTGTTTCAGCCCATCATTGCTGGGAATGAGGAATTATAACTGGAGAGAAAGTCAAATGCAACCAATTTCCAGGGCTCCCAGAGGTGGTTAAGTGATTATTGCATGCAGTAACTTTGCATGACCCATGCTGTTATGAAACCGAAGGCTGAAGTGGGATGTGAGATTGGGTCATGCAGAGTTGCAAAGTTATAGAGTGTTAGCAGTGAGCCCTGCGTCTCTCAGTTAGTGCACACAAAATACACTTCACGGCTCAGTGTGTTTGTTTATGGCTTGTCGTTATAGGCTACCCACCATGTTAGTGTAGGCTCTGGAAATCCCGTTACTTCAACTTCCAAAGTCACTGGAGAACCTTCTGTGACTGTGACATTGGACAGGAGCCTGGAGAAATGAGGTGCCTGGCCAGCTAGGCTGACCACACGGTTCTTTGCTGATGTGCTTTTCGCCTCTTCTCTGGGAACCATTTGCATTTGCGAGCCTGGGCTGGTGCCTGGTTGAAAGCCGAGGTCCCAGCACACATCAGGGGAAGCATGCAGCCTATCTTGGGTTTTAGTGCTGCTACCATGGTCATGCATTTTCTCCTGTTTTTCTAGCGAACTTCCCTGAGCCTGCAGGTGCCACTGTAAAGCTCTGTCATGCACATCACCCGGCATGCTCTCTGGCTGCTTAGCACTGGTTGTGTGGAAGGCAGCACTGCTTTCCAGAAATCCTCCAGAGGTTAATGGGGACTCAGCTCTGGACTGGGGGTAAGGCCTCTCAGAATGACTTGGAAATGTCTCTCTCCTCTCATTGTATGCATTAGCAAAAGTAGCAGGTGGTGGAAGAAGAGACTCCTGGGCCTCTGCTGGGCCGCAGGTCCTGGGCTGCCTGCTGGAGCTGCTCCCGGGAAGGCTGGGCACTGAGGGGCCAGCAGCCTCTTCCACCTCCATGTCTGATGATAGTGCAAAGGGGGACTCAGGGCTTCCAGGGAGAGGAGGCAAGGAGATGTCATCAGGAGAGATGCACTCAGGTTCTTCTCCTGATAGCATGTCTTCAGGCAGCAGCAAGCCCTGTATGCCACCCTCTTTGGCAGAGGACAGCTGCCTTGGGTTCTGCGGCAGTCCATCTTCACCTGCCTCACTGATGGCCAAAATGTCTGTCCCCTGTGCCTGTCCCTTTAGAGGAGAAAAACAAAGTTCCATTAGTCAAGTACTACTCTTTTTCCCAGTTCCAATCCAAGTGAGACTCCACTTGAGGGAGAGAACGTGAGAAAAACAATGGTGAGTTAAAAGCTCAGGAAGATCCCTCTAGGAGTGCTGAACTGGAAACCACCTGTCTGTCTGAGCTGGGAGCCACCAAGCCCATGATTAAACTCATCTCAAGGCTCATAAGTGAAATGGGCTAGGCCTGGGGAAATGGCAGGAAATGAGCTGGGTTGTCACCTGCAGTGACAGCGCTGGGCCCTTCCCATTATCTGAGGAGCCTCTTCCACCAATAAATTTGGCTTTGATCAGGTTTGTTAAATATCACATGAACACACAGTTCCTAAACCTTACGTTGAATGACACATCAGACCCTCTGGGGGAAAAAAATCCTTCAAAGTCATTTTTTAAAAAAATTCTGATATATATATA